ACATGTATTTAATAGCTTTAGGTACTTTACAGACTTTGGATGAATGATCTAATCAAGTGTTTTAAATCAGACTTTAGTTCCACCTGGAGTAAATTCACAGGCTACCCTGCAGAATACAAAGTCATTTAGTGTTATTAGGGTTATTTGTTGCGCCTCTTCTGCTCCACATGCATTCCACAACATTCCACATCGCCGAAACTCCATTCAAACATCAGAACGTTCAGTTTCGATCGGGAATCGCTGGCTATTACTTTTCTCATTCATAACTTTCATAATTCCAGGGATATTATCCCCATAATTCATCACATTTTGAACATGGAAGTCAATGGAGAAAACTCTCAGACTTGAAAAATCTTCATTGCGACTTCAACTGCTAACTGTTCCTTCATACTTTCACTCATTCCAACTTTAAAATGTTACATCTTTCTGACATTATTCGTGTAACACAGCTGTTAAATCAGATTCATACTTTTAGAGATATTAAACATTGTTCAGACCCTTGGTACAGAGGCTTTCTTCTTCAGGATTTTAACATTAGTTTAAAAAAAGAAATAGCCTTCAACATGTCTATGTGCCATTAGTGAGTTTTCCTCAAAAGCTTTTGCCATGGCAACGCATCCCTCGCCGTAAAACACGATGTTCCTATAACTCCTATGAAAATGTTCAAAAAGTGCTCAAACTTCACATGTGTGCTAACGGTCCAGTCGTGTAGACATCTACGTGACAGTTTTGAGATTGCTTCAAATGGCGTTGCCATGGCAACATAATGTTCGCTATGAAACACGGTTTTCTCATAACTTCAGTGAAAATGCTCCAAACGGCCCAAACCTTCACAAGTTTGGTAACGATGCAGCCATCAAACACATCTAAGCGTATTATGGGGTGTCATCAAATACTGTTGCCATGGCGACAGATCATTCGCCATCAAGTTAGTTCAATAGTTTGCCGTTCAAATATTCTGCTGCTTTTCCAAGCCTTTTTACTTTCTTTTCTTCTCTCATCACACATTCAAGCCCCCAGTGTTCATGTATCATTTCAATCTAAAGTCTTCACTTTCTTCTTACACATTACATTTCAGCATAGAGCATTCATCTAGTTAAAACTAGCTGCACCTTTACCAGCTTTGATAACATTTTACTGATCATCATTATAAAAACATATCATATATATTATTCTGAAATGGACCAATCTGCACAACGACTACTTTTACTGTCGCTACTTTCACTATATTTTGATTATAATACTTTTCTACTTTTCCTTGAGTAACATTTTCAATGCCGGACTTTTAGTTGTAAAAGAGTATTCCTACGCTCTTGTACTACTACTTTTACTCAAGTACAAGATCTGAGTACTCGCCCACCTCTGGTTCTACACAAACTGTTCATCCAACTGATTTACTGTGTTTGTAGTTGGAGAGAGTGCCGACCTGGCGGAGGCTGGTGAGGACGGTGCTGAAGCAGGAGATCTCACGGCTGTTTGGGGACCAGCGACCCTCAGAGCTTCAACAAGAAGTCCTGAGCCAACACTCCAGCTCCATCCCCACAGACTGGCTGGTATGCTGCGTGCACACACACACAACACACACACACACACACACACACACACACACACACACAGATGCACACGTATGCATGCGTAAGTGTGCATTATCAGCCATGACAGACTCCATATGACTTGTGTTATAGGATCCGACGAGTAATATTGCCATTGTGATTTTATAAAAACGTGACTTTATATTGGCGTTTGTCCTCAGCTGCTAAGATGATGGTGTATACCTGGAGCCCTCCTGCCATCAGGCAGCCTGTGAGTAAGCTACGGCCTTGGAAGGTCGCTGACTGGGAGAAGCATCCAGGTCTGACCTCACACACCTGTCTGTTCTACATGTACACACTGATTCAGATAACTAACTGTTTGTGTGGTTGCAGGTCAGTACTGAGGTGCTGGAGGCTCTTTGTGACGGACAGCTGGGGGGGGGGTCAGCAGAAAGCTGCGGAGGCGTACCGCCCCGCCTGCCATAAGCTCTTCCCCTACAGCCTGGCCTTCATGCCCCCCGGTTACCAAGACAACAACCCCACCATCAGTGCCAACGGCGACCTGTCCTCGGGAGAGCACGACGACATGGGCAACGAAATGTGAGCTGCGACTACAAGAGACGAAGAGGAGGAGGAGGAGGAAGAGGAGCGCACACCCCCAGACGCCTTAGACCCCGCCCCACCCCCCCTTCCCTGGGCTCTGGCTGCTGTGTGTTGCCCCCACAATGCACTGATCTGGATGGACTGACCACAAGAAGAGCTGGCACATGGAGGAAGGCTGTCCATAGAACTGTTTCAACACACACACACCACACCACACCACACCACACACACACACACACACACACACACACACACACACACCACACACACACACACACACACACACAGGCCCTGTCCATAGACAATCCGGGACAGGGAGACACAGAGGATTGTTGGACAGTGGACGTCTCAGATGGCTGTTAACACAGTCCAGGTTTTCTATAACTCCTGTGTTTTCACGCCATGTCCTTCTTGTAGGTGCATCTGCTTCTCATGTTTTTAAAAGTAATTTATATATTACAAACTGACAAATGGATTAATAAAACAATGTTTGCAAAACCACATGGTGCTGTTGTGAGTGCTGATGTTTAGAATGACTTCTGCTGGGGGGGCGGCTGTAGGGACCTGCAGCAGGAGGTGAAGCGGAGGATGAGAAGCTAAACTGGGTAATTCCCCATTTTGACGTTTTACATTTTGCTTTAGTCTGCTTTGTCACGCTACCTCAGAATACGACTTACTGTTAGAGCCAAAGCATCACAATGTCACAGCACACAAGACAATCATAGTACATTTTTAGTCCTGTGGCTGGGTTATGAGAAATGTTCCTGTCCTATTTCCTAAAGACACATAATAAATGCAAAGTGTATCAAATTCACAAATAATCCAGGCTAACAGAATCAGGGTTCTGTTTGAGCTGGAGAAAGGGATCTGTGGTCCCAAATATGTTGCATGGTTCTGTCAATCCAAAATTGGTTTATTTTTGGGCATGTCCAAAAAATGGGGAAGTGAGCTGCTCCACCATTCCTCCGCTTCTCCAACAAGCATTCTCAACCAATGCTAGATTATTATGTTTTTCATTTTAGTAAGGAAAAAGCTAACAAGACTCTTCTAATGAAATTGACGCCAGTATCTGGAACGTGGAGGAAGTTATTTCACATAGGTTTCGCCAGGTGTGATTGAGTGTTTATCCAAAGTTTGAATCTCGAGTCCATAGTATTTAGTTTGAATCGCAGAATCGTATGCAATCCATCTAGCTTTGTCAACTGTTTCTTCACACAAGTTATTGTTTCATAACTTCAGGTAAATCAGGTAAAGGGGTTTAGCTATTCCCGGTAGATTGTCATAGTTTTGTGATCTCCAATCATTGCTTTCATTGGGACACCTTTGCACTCTCCTTATTTTCCTTCCACTTTGCTTCATACCCATCATCACACCCAAATCACAACAGTTGTTAGTTGGGCAGCCAGGGTAATAATCTCTGAGATTAGGAGAATAGCCATTCCGCCTCCTTCCTTACTGATAGTTAATGTACTATATTTAATCCTTGGCTTTTTCCATTCCAAATCAAATGAGAAAAAATTGTTTGGCCCAATCCTGAAATTGGGTATGTTCAACTTGCACCGGCAATGACAAAAAGGTCTTGGTACATTTTCTAGTCTTAATGCGGTAGAGACAATGTTTAGTAGTAGAGTCGAGCCAGGCACAGATCCATCGTTCACATTTTTAAAATAAATCATTGGACAATATGTTAACCAATTCCCTAGTACTTGATTGCTTTTTGAGACTAATCAATAGGGAGTCTTAGTTTGAGAGTTCGGGGGGGGGGGGGAAACTAAATGTTAAAATGTGTGTTATTTGAATATGAGCTTGTAGGCCTGAATATGTGCCAAAAACATCAAGTAGATCTAAAGGCTGACCTCTGGGTCACTCATGTATAGAACACGTCCTCCAGCGTATAGCACCACCTGGTGTTCTCTATCATCCCATCATCAATTCCTTGTATGTTACAGTCTTCTCTTATGGCCTGAGCCAGAGGCTATACAAAGAGCAAAGACAGTTAGAGAAAGAGGGCAGCCCTGGCGCCTGGACCTTTGCAGATGTAGTGAGTCAGACAGACGTCCATTTACTTTCATTCTGGCTGTCGGGGCACAATATCAAAGCTTTAATACGAGTGATTGAATTTCAGTAAAGCCAAATTGTTACAAAACCAGATAATTCCAGCTCACATAGTCCAAAGCTTTTTCAGTGTCAGGCTGGTCTAACACTGCATCTGTTTCCCTGGTGGTCTGTATGATGTGCACAGAGCATCTAACATGATCTTGTGTTTGGACAAACCAGGTCTGATCTGCGTCTGTCAGATCAGGAATATAAGAGTCTAGCCTTTTGGAAATAATGGACACATTAAGTTTATGGTCCTGATTTAGGATTGAGATCGGCCTATATGAGCTACATAACATTTGATGTTTGCCCTCTTTAGGGATAACAGGGATAACGGCTTCTTTCAATGATGGTGGGATCGATGTATCCAGAAGTGTCCAGTTGAAAGAATTTAGAAGGACTTCATTCTGGTCTAAATATGTTACACCACTCACTTGCTGGAGTCTTGTTATCATCTTCACTTTCATAATGCTGCTACTTGTTTCTTCTACCTTGGCTGTGCGCTTGTTTTTCAAAGATGTAAGTCCACTCAGATGTGCCCTGACTGATGGGAGAATAAAACACCAAGCAAAGCTCCAAACGACATGCCCTTTGAAATCAAAGTATGTTCTGTGGTGTCAGAATGTACAGTAGTTACATTTAGTTTTTATTTAAGCTAAATGTATAAATATACTGTTCACTGACTGCAGACAGTAATTATGGAATGGATTATTATTTCTTTTTCTTTTGACAATGAAAGAGTGTTGAGTGAAGAAAGAACAGAGCAGATACCATTCTTCATGATTTATTGAAACATATGCAGTTGTGACAAACATAAAATCAAGTATTACATATTCTTTAATGAGTGGGGGTATTAGGCTGGGGGGGGGGGGGTTGGTTAGAAATAAATACCTGAACCAAAGGCTGTGGGCCTGGACAGACGGGAGGAGAAGGTGCATTCATTTTATTTTACAAATGATCCTCCACAGTGACTTAGTGCTTTGAAACAAATAAACTTCAGTTGTATCTGAACATGAACCTCTTCGTTAACTTTCGCCAACTCAAAAGGAATACCCCACTGGAAATCTCTTCTAGCCTCTTCGGCTGTTTTCCTCCACCTGCTCCCTGTGAGCCTGCAGCTCTCCTCACATTCTCAGTGGCTGTTCCTTTGCGGGCCAGCCTAGGGGGCCTGGGTGGTCCCAAGCCCCACAGCGTTAGCGTAGGCCGACAGCAGGCTGACCACCTGCCGGGTCTCCAGGGTGAGCCGGGCCTCCGTCAGCCAGTCCTCCACCACGCGGCGGGCTTCTCCTCTCAGCTGGTTCACCAGCTTGGCGGCCAGCTCCAGGTCTCCGTGCTCTAAGCAGAAGCTGGCGTACGACAGGATCTTGAATGGATCCAGGTCGTCACTGCTCAGCTGGGCGGGGGGGGCTTCCTGTTTATCCTCGAACAGCAGTGCAGCCTGGAGGTAGTAGGACAGGAAGTACTGGTACAGGGAGTTGTGAGTTTCATCGACTAGAGCAACGCGGCGGGCCAGCGAGCTCAGCGCATTGAAGCGAGCGCGCAGAGACGCCTCGCTGTACACGCCGCGCTGCAGCGACTCCTCGGGCAGCGCCGAGGCCAGCGCCAGGGCGAAGTCGTTTTCATGGCAGCTTGTCCCGCACGACCTGGGCGGCGCCCTCCAGAGGCTGCGTGGGCACGTCCGCCTCTGCCGTTTTCAGCGTGAAGTTCAGAGCCTCCACAGAGAGCCACAGGTGGTGCGCCTTACGGGCCTCCTCCTCCGCCAGCACGTGGCCTGCAGGCAGAACACAGGGCAGCATTAACACAAAGCAGGTGCTGCTGCAACACAGGAAGTCTCCTAAAGAACCACACACTCAAACACCGTATGTTGTCCTTTATGTAAGTACTAATAAAGAAATATCTGTCCTTGCTGTGACAAGAAATCATTTCTTACCTTACAAAATATAAGGTCAAATAATTCCAGTCCCTATTTTTAGACTTTTAAGCAGATTTTCCTGATCATTGGAATAATATCGAAATCCCAATTATTTTATAATTTTGACTTGAAATTTGCAGTACAAACAGTTTTGCATTAATGTCCAGATAACGTACACACATTAACAAACCTTGATTACAAGTACCTTCACGTTTATTAGTGTCCGCACCAACACTAAAGATTATTGAAACTTAAATGCTTTATTTCTTCCGGTCATTGTTTTAATGTTCAATTCATGTAAATGGGCTTCTCAATTTCAACTTGAAATGACTATATCATCAACTATTATATGTTTTTATAACGTTACTCCTGCAAAGAAAAACGGTGTGTTTGCCTAACAATGGGAAGGTTGGGGATTTGATCCCAGCCCCTGCTGTCCATGTGTCCTAGTGCAACACACTATGGTGTGTGTGTGTGTGTGTGTGTGTGTGTGTGTGCGCTCGCACGCACGCTTGTGCGCTCGCACGCACGCGTGTGTCTTTATCTTACTGTCGATGGCCTCCTCCACTCCCTTCAGCCGGGCGTAGGCTGTGTTCATATCCAGAGTGAAGTTGTCCAGCTGCTCCTGGCTCAGCTGCCTGTAGCTGGTCTCCTGCTCCAGCAGCTTCCTGATCAGCACCTGAACGCATCACACAGTCACACCAGCTGTACCACGTGGACCACTAAAGATGCTATTTCAATTCAAAACTGACTGAAATTAATAAAACAATGAAGAACAATATAATACTAACCCCAATTATCAAATATAAATATGGCTGTTAAATGACATCATCAAGCCACACCCCCTCTTTTACATATGGGTGAAGTTATAAGAGTGATTTGATGTAATGTGTGCTCACCTGCTCAGCATCGGCCCTCAGCTCCGTCTCCTGCACCTTCAGGACGTCCTGGACGTGGTCGGTGTGAGCCGCTGCCTGCCGTCGCAGCTGAGTCCTCATCTCCGCCTCCATCACCTCCCTCATTTCAGACAGCTATACAACACACACACACACACCACACCACCACAACACGTGGTGGGCGTCAGAGGCCAGAAGGCCTTCTCTGCTGGCCTAAATACTATCAGGATCACTGACAACCTTTAATAAAAATGTTCATTAACATGTTTTACATTATTCCTATAGTCTATTCTCTTCAGTTCATAGCTTTTCTCTAGTAACGGTGTGTTAATGTTGCTGGGTAGAATAAATGTGCCGTGCGTACCTTCCTCTCCTGCTCCGCCGGGCCTCCTCCTTGACGTGCTGCAGGGCGGGTGCTCACGGCCTTCTCCAGGGCCTTCTGTCCTCCAGCCTCTGCTGCTCCGCGAGGCGTCGATGTGGATCTGGCTCCCTGACCTTTGCTCCGCCAGCTCTCGGTCAGCTGGTCGATGCGCCGGGTGAGCGTGGGCGATCAGCGCGTTCAGGTCATCCTCCGACAGCTTACCAGCTCAAACACAAAGACAACTCCTTTTGAAAATAGTCTACTGCTCTAAATAAATCCATCAGGTGTTTATTTGGATCAGTAAAGCACAAGTGTCCTTTATTACAAACAGTGTAAGACATGCAGGGTACTGGTGGTGGGTGGTGTTGTGTTCTTACTGAGCCCCTTCCATTGGCCTGGATCTCTGGAGTGAGGCTGGTCACCATCCCTCTGGAACTGTAGTTTGGCTTCATTAACCAGCTCACTGTACTGGGAGACAATCTTAGCTTCTGGACTGATGACTGCACCTGCGCGCGCACACACACACACACACACACATACCATGTATACATCACTTCAGGGGACATTACATTGACTTACATGATATCCTGGAGACTTAGTGTTATTCATGTATTGAGCAGTGTATAGATCAGAGGTTGCGCTAGATTGCCCTGGGGGGGGGGGGGGGGGAGAGCACGGTCGTGAACTGTCAGCGCCGTGTTATGCATGCCCACTGCACCTCGGGAGCGCGCACAGCGTAAAGCCAAAACTCACAGACATTTCAATGATTTGTACGGCAAAGTTGGGTTTGGAAACGGTATCATTTCCTTTTTGGCAGGCATGCATAACACCGGAGCCTCGCGGCGGGAAACTTTGGCGCTGTTCCGTCAAAATGACGGACTGCTTTCAGATTGTTCCGTCATTGTTAAAAAAATCTGTCATAGGCGGAAAATATTCGGTTAACGAACCTCTGGTGTAGATCCACCACTTTGGGTGAAACTCAAGTACTGTATCTGGACATGAAATGGCTTTGCCTTCCCAAATGTGGCGATCACACAGTCGTTTCTTTCAGGATGAATTGTAATAGTTTGATAGTTTGAATGTAGAATCATCACTTGATTGTCTATCCATCCATCATGTACACAATAATGTCCTTACCTTAGTTACCACTTTGTCCAAGTCCACCACCATGTTGTGGAGATTCTCCTCTGCTGCAGAAACCAGGGGGCGCACAGCACCACCTTCAGCCCTTAGAGCTTCAATCACCGCCTTCAGACTGTGCAGGGCTTCACTGCGGGGGAGACAGGGGGGGGGGGGGGGGGAAGAGTTTCAGAGAACTGGTGCAAAATATGAAGGTGAGTGAAGGGTTTTTGCTCAGGCAACCCTTCCCAGGATGCATCCGTGTTCACATGACTCGGCTCCAGACGGCCAGTGTGGGTGTGCAGCTGAAAACGGTCCCACGTCTCATGGCTGTAATGACCATCGAGGCCCCGCTGGCCCCTGGGTTGTTGAATATTTATTCAAGAACAACAACAACAAACGATAACTACAATAGGACCAACCAAACGGTCAACAGAAAAAAATATATCGGAAACCCTCTTTGTCTTTCCACACAAGCCCATCACACGGACTACTTTATCTCACACCACACCCATGTGATATTTGCCTGAAGTGACCAATTACGGACTATGGGAAGTAAACAAATAATGATAATAATAGAAATAATAAGCATGACAAAATAAGCATTTTGGCACCTAAACGGACGTTCCAAAATTGAAGCGGCCTATAGATGATTATTTAAAAAAAGCTAAATGAAGCGAGTGGGGGGCTGTTGGGGGGGGGTCAGACTCAGAAGCCTCTGATGATGAAGGGCTTTGCTTCTTCCACCAACTGAGAGAGCTTCGGATGAATCCTCTATCCCCCCACATGTATAATTATATCACTTCATCGATATAGTACATATATCAGGATAGGGTACATTGTGTATGGCAATATATGAAAAGCAGGTACTTCATCACATTGAAGCCCACATCCTATAGCCAGGGAGGTCCTCTAAACCCAGTGGTTCTCAATGGGGGTTACGTGGACCCCTAGGGGTACGTTGGAGTACTGCAGGGGGTACGTGAGATTTATTTTATGTTAATGAAAAAAACAACATAAGTAATACATTTAAACAAACTACTAATAGTGGACTTTCTTCAAAAGTTATCAGTAACTCTGGATAATAAAATGGGTGATTGCGTGTGGCCGCAAAGTATAGCGTAGGCTATGGCTATGTTTATATGAGGGGTCAAAATCCCATGCGCATAAAATGCTCATATTTTTTTCTCTTCATTCCCCAAAATAAATAAATATACCAATTTTAGGAAAGATAAGGAAGTTTGAGCAGTGTGGGTTTTATATTAACAGAGTTACACATATTTCAAAACGCGAAGTGTAATAACTACAGTTTGCCTCCCTGTCAGAATGACAAAGGTCCTCAGTGAAGCACAAGCACATGTTTCACTAAATTATAAGTACAACTTATTAAAAAGATCAGTTCAATGCAACTAATGTCGTCTCAGTGTTATTGCATGATGTTAAATTGTTTTGCCGTGAAATGTAATGTGTGTGTGTGTTGAGGTACATGTCTTACTTGGCATTGGACAAGGCCGTGTCAGCAGCAGTCACAGCGCTGGTCCTCTCAGCTAGAGAAGCTTCCAGATCCTTCCACTGGGCGGACTTCTCCTCGGGAGGAACCTGGATTTATGAAGAGCGTTAATCACTCAGAACCATTCTGTTGCCCATAAAAGCGTCACAGCCCAGGATATGATGGTTGAATGTTGTGTAGTTGGGTGTATGGGATTTAAAGCCAATTACTCCTATGAAATATCTGGGGATGACAATCTCACGATCCAATCAGAATCAATTCTTGAGTCAATAAATGGAGAGGGTGCACAGTCTGTGTGTCCAACCATTCACTTCCTGTATTATTCCACTCAAAAACAAACTGCCAGTATTTACCCAAACCGGGGCCTTCTGGTCCAGTACGTTCATCCAACAGGCGGCTCGCTAAATGAGCTTGTTGTTTTGTGAGTCGGCTGCTCAGCTCACAGACATTTCTGGAGGGATTGCTCAGATTAATCTCTTCATTATTTTCCAATTACTAATCATTTGACATTGTTGTTTGGAATAATCAAGGAGGTGAGTGTCACAGTATGCTCTGTCTTATGTGTCACAAACACCAGCTGCTGTCATGGACTGTTATTTCTCTCCCTTTTGGCTGTGGTCTGTTTGGAAGGGGCAGCGCAGCAGGAGGAATAGGTTTATCCTCTGACAGTGTTCAGTGTATATTTTTTTAAATCCTCTGTGCAGAGAGAGGAGCTGTGGATTATGTTTATTGATTAATGCATCAGTGTTTGTTAGGGTCAATAACACTAAACTCACAACTTAAAATGAAAGCTTTTAGTTTATTTAATAAAAGAGCACTATATATATATATATATAGATATATATATTAATGCTGTCAAAATTATCGCGTTAACGGCGGTATTAATTTTTGAATTAATTGGCGTTAAAATATTTAACGGCATTTAACGCATGTGCAGAATGGCCCGCCCCTATACGTGCCACCAGTGGCAGCGCCAGGGTATGGCTTGGGGTAGGCTAGCACCCATACCAATAATGGCTTAGCCCCACCATGAAAAATGATGTTAAAGTAAGGCAAAATAAAGTCAGTAAATTGCACATGACAGCAGTTAGTGAGATTGATTTCAGTAGCCACTTGTCTGGAAATACCGAGAACCAGAAGACGGTTTTGAAAACTTTTGTCACGTAGTGATCGTCTTCTCAATAGAACATCTTTGATAATGTCTTCTGACGCAATCAGAATCACGATAACGACGTGGGTGTTTTTGCAGGAAGTCCGCGACGGAGAATACTTTTGCTGTAGTACATCTCTATATACATCGATACAACATTACGTGTTGATAGAAATCAACACGTAATGAAATAAGACCCCACGGTTTGATGATTGATAGGGTGTGTGGGCTGTCTGTCATTTTGACACAGCAGAACAATGTTATAATAAACATAGTATACCGTATGTTAAATGGATATATCCGCCTTCTTCATTTATCTTCCATTCCCACAACAATATACATAAATAAATGGCATATTTTGGACATAGTTCGAATGGTGATTAATCATGATTAATTAATTTTAAGCTGTGATTAATCTGATTAAAAAATGTAATCGTTTGACAAGCCCTAATATATATATATATAAAAAATGTGTTTTTTTTTAAAACACCTTGCATTGCAGGGGGGGCGGGCGGGGCTTCCGTTGGCGGGGGGCCAGCGCCCCTCCAAGACAATGGTAGGGGGAAACACCTGGTGTTGAAGAATAACAAAGTAGCATTAACTCAAATACTGTAGCTCGTGTACAAAAAGGAGACAAAACAAAAGAACAGCTATTAAGGCTACATATTGGTTTCTGGTTTGTTATTTTAAATCCATGGTGAACTGATAAGAAAAAAATATTCAAATGGATCTCAGCTATAGATAGCTGTGATGTTCTTTTATTATTAAAAAAGCACTGTTTTCATCTATTTACAAAAAGATCATTTATGAAGCACAGCTCATATCGTTCCAAGCTAGAGTAGGCGTGATATCACTTCAGCGTTGTCAACATGGATCGGCATTATTATTATCTAGGCCCTTTTTGTATCTTGTTATATATATATATATATATATATATATATGTCACACTGTGGGACTGCGAGAAACGGTATTTCAAGATTTCTGTATGTATAACACACGTAGACAATAAAGCTGACTTTGATTCTCTTATACGTCCATCATGCAGAGCTATGCTAATGCTGACATGGGTGTGGTTCAATCTAAACTGGGTTGGAAAATGACTGCCAGTGCTACTCAGACCACAGTCAGTACCTCTGCCTCCATGGCCTCCTTCAGTCTGAGTGTGTGCTGAGCGATGGCCTGCAGCGCGGCCTCCTGAGCTCCAATAGCCTGCAGGGTAGCTTTAGCAGAGCTGGCCAGGGAGTCGTCCAGACTGGCTGATACAGCTGCAACACACACACACACACACACACACACACACACACACACCACACACACACACACACACACACACACACCCACACACAACACACAACACACACACACACACACACACACCACACACACACACACACCACACACACACACACACACACACCCACACACACACACACACACACCACACACACACACACACACACACACACACACACACACCACACACACACACACACACACACACCCACACACCCACACCCCACACACACACACACACACACACACACACACCACACACACACACACACACACACCACACACACACACACACACCACCCCCACACACACACACACACCCACACACACACACACACACCACACACACACACACACCACACACACACCACACACACACCACACACCAGAGAGGAGACAGTAGCATGGAGTGTACAGGGTTAAAGATGTTTTTCAAATAAATTAAATCAACTTTATTCATTCACTTTCTGAAGAAAGAATGTGTGTGTGTGTGTGTGTGTGTGTGTGTGTGTGTGTGTGTGTGTGTGTGTGTGCTCCACCTACATGTGAGGACTTCCTGTTCCTCCTGGTCTTGTTGGGCCCAGTCTAGCGGTCACCTCCTCCACGGGGCGCTCCTTCAGGCCTCTGACACCCCGGGCTCTGTCTCAGGCT